CCCTCCCCCCCCCCCCCCCCCTCCCTTCCCTTCCCTCCCCCCCCCCCCCCCTTTTTTCTCTTCTCCTTTTGAATATATGCATACCATTTAATGTTTTATTTTGCTATCTCTTTGTTATAACTGGTTGGACCATAATTCTCTTAATCCCAACAAACCCTAGCAGGGCTTCAAGTATTAGATTTAATATAAGTTAGCATAGCTTTGCATTCTTGTAGTCTTTTATAAATTCTAGTATTACTTATGTCCTTTTCTAGTTATCTATCCTAGTTATTTATAGTATTTAGATTATTCATTGTAAAATTAATTGTAATTTTATAGGATTCTTTTGCATTTTAATTCCTGTACCCTGTAATTTTATGTTAATAATTTTAAATTTACTTTATTTTATTCTATCAATATGGGTTTTTGTTTTTAGAGTAATTGTTATGTTATGAGTTCTATGCTGGTCTATGACTGAAATAAAATTTATGGATATTCCTCAAAGAAGCAAAATTACTCTCTCCTATGTGACATTTGATTAAAAAACCCTCTTCCCTACTCATTATGAAGTACAATGTTTGTTACCATTTCAGTCCCTAAAAGCTAAGTAGATTCTAGTCAAATATTAATCAGTTCTAGCATTCTATTTGTGTTATGTTTGACCTATTCTTGATATAGCTCTAAGTGGCTAACAATTAAGTATAAAGTAACAAAACAATAGAGAACCACTACAACAACAGAAAAATATATAAAAAAATAACAGTTTGATAAAAATAGCAACAGAATTGGACATTGAAGGTCTTCCTAAAAATTCAGGTCTTAACTAATTTCCAGAAGGCTGTTAAATAGGAAATGAGACAGACTTTTGTCTGAAAAGAACCTAAACACAACCTCTGGAAATGTTTTTTCCCTAATCCCAAACAAATAGATTTCATGGCTTGAAGGTCCGTGAAGGATGGTGATGATGAGCACATTAATTTGGGAGACTAGAAACCAGTGCAACTGTTTCAATAAGAAACATGTTATCTATATGCTGTTCCTGTTAATAAATAGGCTGCAGCATTTTGGACCAATCATAGCTTCCAAAAAATGTTCAAAGGCAGCTCTATGGAACATTCATTTCAGTAATTCAGTTGTGATATAATTAAATCATTTATCACCCTGTCCAGATTTGCATTCTGTGTGATGGAGCTGATGCACCAGTCTTAGTTAGATAAAGTATTCCTGAGCACCACCCCCAGGTCCAAAAGAACTGCTAAAATGTGTGCTTTCAGGAAGAAACACAGATTGAATTCCAGTTCTGGATCAGGTTTACTTACTAACAGCATTTCTACTTTGCTGTTAGGTCCTGAATTTGCCAGAATTCAGGTCCAGCTTGTTAACCCACGTTCATTGTCCTACTATATTTAGGCAATAGTTCAGGACCTCAGCACCCTCACTGGAATAAGATGGAAAAGAGTCAGGGTTAGGATTAGGTGTTATCTATGTAGCAGTGACATTAAATTTCTTAAAACACCAAATACCGTTCCAGAATGTATATACAGATGTGAAATGCATGGGGACAGTATAGAAGTCTGTGGATCTTCACTGGCCAATATGTAAGAAGTTCAAATCTTCAGCATCATTTTCTTAAACTCTCTTTCCAGGAAGGACTGAAGTTACTGCAGAGCTATAACTCAACATCCCACTCAGAGCTACTTATCCAGAAAGATTAATGAAAAAAGAATGAAACCTTAGAATTGATTATAGCCCATGTATTAGGAACTATTAATATTGTTGTGTTAAAGACAATTAAAAAAAAGACTAGAGTTGGAAAATATAAGACCATTGATAATTGACCACACCTTGCACCTATTTTTTCGTAAAGGGCAGTCAGTCAGTGAGAGCTGATTCCCCCTGAGAATAGTGTGCACAGATTCCCATGTTCAAGATTTTCTGGGTCACATTTGGTTCATATAGGGATTCAATAGCATAGGAAGCAACATATAGACTCAGATTAATGCTCAGATCAATACAATTTATTTTAATACATTTGTATCCAATGTTTCTTCTAGGACAAAAGTGGGCCACATTGGGTCCCTAGAGTCCCCCTGGGTTTGTAACACCAAAATTCAGTGGCAAATCACTGAATATTGCAGGTTCAGTTTCTGGCAGGAAAAAATTTTTATTTTGGAAAAAGCCTTAATACAACTTAAGAAAAGAAAAAAAAATGGCCAATCATCCCCCCTCCCCCTCCCCAAGGTAAATGCAGCCCAATCTGCAAAATAATTTTCTCTCTTGCTTTACAATAATAGCCCTACTAGTGAAGTAGATGAGATTAAAGAAGGAAGGATTTGAACCTGTCCCATTCAACTTGATTCTATCCGTATATCCCATTTCTTTCTATTCTGTAATAAATTGTTTGGAGAAGAATGCTTGTTAAATACTATGCTTTTCTGTAGACACAGGCAATCATCTGGATTTGTTACCATAATTTTCTCAAGATGGGTTCAGCACAGAATGGAGAATTTGAAGGTATTCCATCATGTAACACTTTTTATATATATATACATACACACACAGAGGATAAGAAGAGCACTTATTTTTCTGTACCTAATTTTATAATTTTATTCAGCTTAAGACCAATATTTTTCTATAATCAACTGTATGTGTTTGAAAAGTTTTGTTTCCAATTAAAAATGGAATACATCTAACTTTTTGATAAAGGCACATACAAGACTGGCCAAAGGGTGTAAAATGCACTTTGGTTTTTAATGGGGGAAAATAGTTATGGCAACAAAATGTCTTGGGTATTAAATATTAAATAGATCATAGCTAAGTAGAAGGTGAAAGTATCCTCACTTCCATGTCTATTAAGTAATTTCCAGATAACTATGAAAATAATGGGCAGTATTTTTGATGGCAGTTGAAATATGTACACATCTGTATTGTATATATTTAACTGCATATTCAGTACACTTTAGCATGGTTAAAATAATTGTCTATCAATCATACAAGTTCTATAGTATACATTGGTTTTAAAACTTTTTTTTCTTCTTGATTTTAGCATATTTAGGAAACTTTTACGTTTTGCTTTCTGTTTTCCATAGATATAATAATTATTTTAACAATAAGATGCAAGTACATTTTTGTTTAGTAACTACAAGGTTGGGACTAGAGATGTGCAAAACATTATGTGCATGGAAGAGACGGTTTCAGGTGGTCCATATCCAAACTGAAACATGCATATTGGTCCACGCATGGAACGAATTGGGGTTGTTTTGTCGGGTGTGTGTGTGAGGAAACCAAGTCCATAAGGAACTGAAGGGAGGGAAAAGAGGGGAAGACTGAGAAAGCTGAGACATTATGGGATATGCCTCACTGGGACACTGGCAGCAGCAGCTAAGGGAAGGGAGGGAAGATGCTTGGAAAATCAAGAAGGTGGGCAGGCCAATGGGATATATTGGACAGGGTGGAATGAAAAGAAAAGGAGTGATGTGCCCCGGTCTTGATCTACTCACCCCATCCAGATTTGTCTGAAACGTAGAACAATTTAAGTGTTCTAAGCTTTAATCCTGTTAAACTCTGTCTGGCTTTGAATGGTTTAGCAGAACACCCTACCTGCCCTCCTGTAATGCAGTGGTTTTGCTATGGGGTTGGGAAAAAAAATCCTTGTTTCACGCACATCTCTATTTGGGTCAATGAAGAGTGCTTGAATACATTTGCCTTATGAGATTTCAGCTATTTGTTGTAGTTTCCAACAGCTATTTTATTGTTTACAAGTATATAACTGGTATTGCCCACTACTTTGCTATTTGATTTACTAAATGCTAGTTGGTTTAATATACCCAGGATTGTATTTTCATCAATTTTGTAGCCATTTTTGAATACCTTTAACGGATACCAAAGTGAATATGGCCTGTGCTTATACTTACAAGGATCTCAAATGTAGCGAAGTCCTGATTGTTCAACACAGCAAGAAAATTCACTTTCACAGTCAACAAGTCATCTTACTCAGTTGAACACAAAAGTTAAATGGTTTGTAATTTCAATAGTAGGAAGGAAAATACAGTACAAATTACTAAAAAATACTAAAATATAGAATTGTTTTCAGGCATCCTTGCTACATTAATCGCAGCAGTCACCTGAAATTTGAAACTTTTAATAAAAAGTTCTTAAATATAAATTATATGGCAAATGTACAATACATTGCTTATACAGTCTTTTAATCCAGTGTTCTGTAGTAGGCCAGCAACCAGTAAAGTTGCCTTCCTGTGTGAGAAAAAGTAGCTACCCCAAGTCTTCCATTTTCTTACTATCATGAATGTGAGTGATCTGAATCAGGTATACCACTGTCTCTGTAGCTTCTGTTACTACTGCTTTCGCTGTGGTTGTTTTTATACAGACTCATCCCATTAGGTGGAAATATGGTATGTATTACAAACTCCTCTTTAGACACTTGCTCATTGTTCAGAGAGATCATCTGGAAAGAAGTCTCCCTGATTTCTAGGATGGAATTGTCCTTCTTAGTTCCAGCCTCAGCATAGTCATCTTTTCTTCGCCGTCCTTTGCTATAGGTACAATTTCTTGAGAACAAGGAACCATTCCTGTGGACGTACCAGCAGACTAAAGCAAGCAATGCTATAGCTACCAGTGCCACTGCACCCCCTATGATGGCAGCTAAGGGCAAATTAGAGTTTTTATATGGTTCTTTCTCTTGTTCATGGTTTAGGGTTGTTGTAGGATTGTACATTCTAAGGGGAGCAGTTTCAGTCTCTATACAGACAGGAGTTTCATCATATAGATAAATGTTACTGGTTTCCATGGGAACCATGCATACACGGTATGGGGAATCTGGCTCAAGTGCTGTGAGCAAATAGTCATTTCGGTCCCCTGTAACAATGGTTTCAGTTATAGATCCAAAGGCTGGGCTGTGACCCATTTTGAGCCAACTAAGTCTCAGAGCAGTCATGGGTAGTGCAACTTTCCAAGAAATATGAATAGTCTCCGTGCTTACGGATTTTACAACAATGGTAATGATTTCCTGTGCTGGGGAAGCTGTTCTGTAATTTTTATGTGGATTAGCAGTCTTTATTTCAGGAGATTTGGTCACAGAAAGGGGCCAGTGTCCTTGCACAGGATATAAAGTGTTTGGTATTGAAGCAGTAATTTGGATCGTGCTTACAATATCTTCATCTTTGCAATCAAATAGCTCTTTGTTGAGGTCTTTGATAGCCATCCCACGCACTTTTTCTGGTGCTTGACACATCAGTCCACGTACATTAACTTTGAGAGGCAGGGTCTGTAGCCAATCACGAACCCATTTCATTTTGCACCCACAGCGCCAAGGATTGTTGCGAAGAAACAACTGGGTTATATTGTCTAGGTCATCAAAGACACCCTGAGGTAAATTACTGAGATTGTTGTTTGACATATCTAAACGATATAGTTGTCGTAGATATGCAAAAGCATTAGGTGGTACATGATTGATATGGTTTTCTTGTAGATAAAGCTTTCTCAGATTTGTGCCTGGCAAATTTATTGGAGCTGCTGTAAGAGAATTACGAACCAGTGAGAGTTCAGTTAAATTGACTAGATTTGTGAAGACCTTCTCTCCTAATCCATGATTGCTTAAGAGATTTCCATCTAAAACTAGACGTTTTAAATTTGTAAGATCTTGAAGGGACAGCTCTGAAATTGTGGAAATACGATTATCATCCAAGCGCAGCTCTTCTATTGTTTTAGGCAAGCCCCAGGGAATGGTGCTAAGGTGATTTCGAGAAAGAAAAAGTAGTCTGAGATAAATATTATCCCGGAAGGCTCCATCTTCAATACTAACAGCAGAAACAGAATTATCATCCAAATGCAATTCTTCTAGATAAGGAATTTGTGACAGTGAATCATAAGTAATTGTCCTTATGTTATTTTCTTGCAAATGCAATTCTTTGACGTATTTTGGAAGGTTGATAGGGAATTCATCCAAGCTGTTGTGATATAAATAAATTCTCTCTACTTTTATTAAGGTTTTTAGCTCGGAAGGAATTCCAGCATTATTAATTTGATTGTTCTGAAGGTAAAGAGTTGTAGCATCCCCTGGAATCCCAGTTGGAATAGAAGTCAAGTCACGATCATTGCAGTAAATGAATCCTGCATCACAGCGGCACACAGAAGGGCATGATTTGGCACCGATAAAGTGAGGTGCCATTTTGAGCAACAGCCCTATCTTTGTCCAAATAAGGATGAAGCTCCAGGTTACACTGATCATGGTCAAGTTGCAGTGAGATTTGCACACAAACTAGTGTTTAATTTTCAGTAACCTAGGAAAGAAAATCAGATTAATAGTAGAAGGCAGAGGGTAAGTACTACTCTGAAATAAAACAATAGAATGGATATTTACATATTTATATTGCTTATAAAAACAATAGGATGCATATTTACCAGGAAAAAAGTGCTATTGTATTACTTGGTATATATACATAGGACTGCTTGAATTAATGTAAGAACATGTTCCCTTACAAGAATTAACAAAGTAAGGGCACAATTAATTCCAATAAATTTTAACTTGTTCCATGCTATCCCCTGATTTTATTGTGTCGTGGTACGGAATTTTATGCTTCAGAATTTATCCTGTCATTTTGGCAATAGCCAGCATAATCTTCTCCCCCCACCCCAGAAGTTTTAGATTCCTGCTGTATGTGATAGGTCACCTCACAATTTTTTGGAATGGGGTCTTTGCCACACACACCTGAGATGTGGGCATGATGATAATAAATTTGTCACTTAGCACATGGATTTATTAGCACATGAATTAATTAAATTATAGCCAAGTATACACATTCTTTAATAGGTCACTGACCAAATTCATAACTTCCAGAAGTATATATACAGGTGATCATAGAAGGTCTATCTATGTGGTCACTAAGATTGACAGCAACTTGATAGCACATAATAATCAATATACAGGTGAATAACTTTTCATGAACCATCGTGAAATATGTGCAGCAGTCCCACCTGTTCAGTTGAAATCTCTCTGCAAATCGACTGTATATTGCTTTTTACTTGGCCTTGATCACATGCTGCATACACACCAGGAATAGTCTGACTTTAGTGAAAGTGAAACAGCCATTGTTTATAGTGCTGCACACATGAACATATGTGTTTAACAATGATTTGGTCACCCATCAGCATACTGATGGCTTTTAGTAATACAAGTAAATAAGATCCATATATATTGCATTATAATTATTAGTTTATTTGTTATAAACTAATTCATATTAATTTACTTGTTATATTGCTTCATGAAATTAACAAGGAACAACTGGAGCAAGTTTATTGAAATAGTATGTTTGTTTCTTTCAGGCAATAATGTTCCAGTCCAAAGATTACTATACCAGGTAGCTGCTAAACTAACTACTTTAGCAAACAGCACCGCTGTACAAATTTTATACTAAGGATTGAAACCAGCTCCTTTAGCACTGCTTGCATCTGTGTTCTGTATAGAGAGAAATGTTCTTTAACTTCACATGCTCAATATTTTATTTCTTTCTTGGTACCATTTTCTAGCATGACAGTGGACTTTGTACTACTTGGCAAAATAATATATTATTATTGTTCTTACCTTATTTAAATATATGAGGGAATAGTTTGTGCTTACTAATCCAATGGACATCCAGTTTTCCAGAAAAAGGTTGACTTGGGAGAAATATATTGTTTAGTTCTCATAATTGTACTTCTTTTACATCAATACATTAAATTATCCTCATGGATAGAATATCTTTCCTGGTAAGCTCCATTATGTTCAGTAAGCATTTTCTGTAAAAATTGATCATGGAACATAAAAGCATCCAGTTGCTAACAGAAAAGTTTTACAGTCCTGTAACTCTGCTGGAAGAAGAGTTCTAAGAACAGGGAGAGGGTTTCCCTTCTTCTTTTAAGTCTGTATGTGAAGAACCTCTTTTGTTTTGATTTAATATCCTTAATAAAAATGGCATTCTTCGTAATTCTCAGAAGCTTTTCTGTATTGTATAGCTAAAGATGGCAATTTCAGTTCCATGTGTGTAAAACTATTTGCAACTATTGGTGCCAAGGCTTGAATTATGATGGCTTCTTCATTAAATTGGGGATCCTTTTTTGTCCAGAATCATTCAGCAATAAACCTTAAGCAACAAGTATGTTCGGATAAATCCATGCTTGCTGGGCTTTACTATTCATTTAGAACATGGTCACGATTTCCAGTTTAGAGTATTTCCTCATTCTGTCTGTATTTGCAGGTGCCCACTCCTTTTGACAGAATTTAATTTTAATTCAGAGGCTTTTCTTCATGAAGAAATGAAAATATGCTAATGCATATAACAAGGAATTTCCTCAGATATTTCACTCAATCATTGCCTAAAAAAAGTAATAAAAATGAATTAGTTGCTGTCAGGTAGAATTTATTAATAGTCTTGTTCAAGTTTTAATCCTTGAACATGTGATTTAAAACAAAAAACAAAAATAAAAAGACCACTTCAGCTATTGCATGAAGAATCCAACCAAAACAGCAATGAATATCACCTTTAGTTAACAGAGCAAAGAGAATCTGACAAATGTGACACATGACTCTGAAGATGCAGATTAAGGCCAAGGTTCTTGAATGACCGGTATGCTTCTATTTATGATTTTCTACTTTCAAGAAAAAGGCAAACATCTACAGTTTAAATTATTCAAAAGCAAAATTTTTATTCAGTAGATCTTTGGCAATATTGTGCTTGGCTTAATATTTTATCTTGTTGAATTCCTTCTGAATTCTTTGGCGAGTTCTTCCTCTGCAGGAGGAAGCAGGCAATAGGGTGGAATACTTCCGAAGTGTAGAGATAGGTTGAAAATGTCCCCAGTCTCAATGGCTTTCAGGAAAGGGGTGAAATCCTGGCTGTGCCAGAAGGCCTGGGGCCAGATGGGGGCTCGCATCAGTGGAGGTGGCTTATGCAGTGATTGACCTTGCCCCCCCCCGTCATCTTGAATGTTTTT